AAAAAACTGTTTTGTCGAGTATCACAAGTAGCTAGGAAGCGTGCAAGTGCGCGTGCTATAAAGGAAATGTGATGTATTCAGTTATTATGTTATCTCACCTTGTCACATAAGCCAAAGTTATTATCCTACGTCATAAATTAATATTTCATTCAGATTATTTTTTTCCATATACTTACTGATAATAAATATCTGATTAGCTTTTACACTGTATCAAATGTATCAGCAAGGCAAAAAATCAGCTACTTTTTATGCTGAAAAGATATCCTTTTATTTGTTTTTTGTGTTAATTTTGCAAGTCAAAAATGTTTACTGCAAAACGTGTTTTATTATTCATTATTATTGTTAATAAGTGCATATTGTACAGATCTTGGAGCATAATACAAGGGATCGCGTGTGATGGCTATACGATTAATACATGTACCGCGAGCCCTGACGGGACTCTGGAGTCCCGGATCAGTATTTTTTATATTAATGGATTTTTTTATTTTAGTACCATAGGAACTATAATAGAGGTTCATAAAGCACAATTAACACAAAAAAATACATAAAATAACTCCCATCATATAGCCGGGTGGAAAGGGTTAATGAGAACAAGGCGAGTCTCATTAACTTAATGAGAACAAGGTGTGTATCATTAACTGCGAGAATAAGGCGAGTCTCATTAACTTAATGAGAACAAGGTGTGTATCATTAACTACGAGAACAAGGCGAGTCTCATTAACTGCTTAATACTAGGAATTTAAAAGCAGAGAAAACGCCAAGGAAATTCACCATGTCGATATTGAAAACGTTTCGGAGTCCAGCTCCATCATCAGTTCGACTAAAGTAAACTAAAATGAATAAAATCACTTTAAAAGTCAAAATTCAAAGACAGACATAAAACCTAAACAAGACCTAACATTATATCGAAATAAACAGGACTAGTTATGAACAACTTAGTCCTAGGGGTACGACAAGAATATAAAATCCTAGCGATTTACTATTTCCTGATTATATGAGCTAAACGCATTATTGAGACATGGTTTTCGTTTGAAGGGATTTTATATTCTTGTCGTACCCCTAGGACTAAGTTGTTCTAAACAAGTCCTGTTCATTTCGATATAATGTTAGGTCGTATTTAGGTTTTATGTCTGTCTTTGAATTTTGACTTCTAAAGTGATTTTATTCATTTTTAGTTAGTCGAACTGATGATATAGCTGGACTCCGAAACGTTTTCAATATCGATATGGTGAATTTTCTTGGCGTTTTCTTTGCTTTTAAATTCCTTGTAAACTTGCGATATAAGCAGACTAATAATATAACTGCTTAATACTGCAGAGCATGTTTGAAAGGCGACCGTACGGTACACCTGGGCCGTAAAGGGTGAGTGGTGAGCGACGTGCGAGTCAAGTTCGCCTTCCTTAATGAGAACAATACGAGTCTCATTAAATGATTAATGAGAACTGCCCTGACTCCCTGCCTCACAGCCACCCAGACCTGCCTCCCTGACTCACTGCACACCAGACCTGACTGCCTGATTCACAGCCACCCAGACCTGACTCCCTGCCTCACAGCCACCCAGACCTGACTCCCTGCCTCACAGCCACACAGACCTGACTCCCTGCCTCACAGCCACCCAGATCTGACCCCCTGCCTCACCACCACCCTCCTCCTGTAGGTGAAGGTGATGCACAAACAGCTGCTGCTGTTCTATAACGCCATCAGCGCCTACTTCACCGGCAACGAAGCACAGCTCGACGCGACACTCAAACAATTTAATGTCAAATTGACAGGGGTGCCAACGCTACCCCTCCCAGCTGGCTGGAACAGTGAGTAACTCCAATGCATCCCACCCCTCAAGCCTGTACATGGACGTGGGTCAACTTGACACACTTTTAGCACCCTGTGCACCCAGTTATTTTGTTGTTTGTGTTTTTGATTTTATATTTTTATTTAAAATATTTATTATTTCTCAAATTTTATATTTTAACTATTTATTATTTTATACTTATTTTTTAAAATAATTATCCTGTTATTTCTGTACAAAATATTTTTGCTTAAATTTTTTATTGCATTTTGGTTATTTTGCCAGGGCTTCTGGCCGGGCCGGTCTGGCAGAGATGCTGGCCGGGCCGGTCTGGCAGAGGCGCTGGCCGGGCCGATCTGGCAGAGGTGCTGGCCAGGCCTGTCTGGCAGAGATGCTGGCCGGGCCGGTGTGGCAGAGATGCTGGCCGGGCCGGTCTGGCAGAGATGCTGGCCGGGCCGGTCTGGCAGAGGTGCTGGCCGGGCCGGTCTGGCAGAGGCGCTGGCCGGGCCGATCTGGCAGAGGTGCTGGCCAGGCCTGTCTGGCAGAGATGCTGGCCGGGCCGGTGTGGCAGAGATGCTGGCCGGGCCGGTCTGGCAGAGATGCTGGCCGGGCCGGTCTGGCAGAGATGCTGGCCGGGCCGGTCTGGCAGAGATGCTGGCCGGGCCGGTCTGGCAGAGATGCTGGCCGGGCCGGTCTGGCAGAGATGCTGGCCGGGCCGGTCTGGCAGAGATGCTGGCCGGGCCGGTCTGGCAGAGATGCTGGCCGGGCCGGTCTGGCAGAGATGCTGGCCGGGCCGGTCTGGCAGAGATGCTGGCCGGGCCGGTCTGGCAGAGATGCTGGCCGGGCCGGTCTGGCAGAGATGCTGGCCGGGCCGGTCTGGCAGAGATGCTGGCCGGGCCGGTCTGGCAGAGATGCTGGCCGGGCCGGTCTGGCAGAGATGCTGGCCGGGCCGGTCTGGCAGAGATGCTGGCCGGGCCGGTCTGGCAGAGATGCTGGCCGGGCCGGTCTGGCAGAGATGCTGGCCGGGCCGGTCTGGCAGAGATGCTGGCCGGGCCGGTCTGGCAGAGATGCTGGCCGGGCCGGTCTGGCAGAGATGCTGGCCGGGCCGGTCTGGCAGAGATGCTGGCCGGGCCGGTCTGGCAGAGATGCTGGCCGGGCCGGTCTGGCAGAGATGCTGGCCGGGCCGGTCTGGCAGAGATGCTGGCCGGGCCGGTCTGGCAGAGATGCTGGCCGGGCCGGTCTGGCAGAGATGCTGGCCGGGCCGGTCTGGCAGAGGCGCTGGCCGGGCCGGTCTGTCTGGCATCCTGTCACCAATTCATTATTTTATTTCTTTTGTTTCCGGTCTCCGGCTGCAGGTCGCTGCCAGAAACTCTGCAAGAAAATTTCCGAAATATTTTTGCCAACATCAACGCAAGCAAGCGTCTGCCTCCTGTCAACTCTGGCAACCGCGTTACTGCCTCCTGTCAACTCAGGCAACCTCGTTACCGCTTCCTGTCAACTCTGGCAACCGCGTTACTGCCTTATGTCAACTCTGGCAACCGACTGACTGCCTCCTATCAACTCAGGCAACCTCGTTACATGCTTCCTGTCAACTCTGGCAACCGCGTTACTGCCTCCTGTCAAATTTAGTCATTCCCCACCAATGTTAGGCTTAATTAAATAATTAAGTTAATTAGGTAGTCATTTTTGCTTAGCATCTATGCAGTACAGTAAGCGACGTATGCGTTGACTTATGCTTTCAGTTCAATTACCTAATTTTATTAATTAATAACTTAAAATAGGTAATTAAATATTTAACATTAGTAATTAATTACCCAAAATAAGTAATTAATTACTTAAAAAATAAATATCGCTTAAAGAAATAAATGAACTTTTGTCCTAAGAAGCGACGCACTATTTTGAAACTCGTGTGGGTCATCCTGACCCACTTAGGCCCGGCAACAAGGCGTATCATCTTATTATTATTTTTATTATATATTAGCGATCAATGGCATTATATTTTACGTTAATTTCAATCGGGCAGTCTACCAGCTTTCAACCCAGGTTGAAATTTACCGTTTTTTAAAGTTTAAAAAAATGTGTTTCTTGAACGCGAAAAAATTTGTATCGTGAACGTAAAAAAAATTGTGTTTCGTGAAAGCGTGCACTCGGGAGATGCCAACTACCTATTCTTATCATTTGCATTGCCAAGTATATATTTTAAGATTATATGTATATTTGTTTGACTTGTATATATGTGTGTGTTTTTCACTGTGTGGCCGGCCATTGTGCTTCTCATTGCATCAAAGTTCCTGGGTTCTCTGTGTGAATTTCACACAAATGTGTAGATTACTTGAGCATTTTTTATTTTATTATTTTCATCAAATTTTTTGTTATCTCCGGTAAATTGTTTTCTGTTGAATAATTTTGCGTATTTTGATCTTTTATCATTGTGTTATCTATCAGTTCAGTTATCATTATGTCATCTATCAGTTCATTTATCATTGTTTTCTATCAGTCCAGTTATCATTGTGTTATCTATCAGTCCAGTTATCATTGTGTTATCTATCAGTCCAGTTATCATTGTGTTATCTATCAGTCCAGCTATCATTGTATAATCTATTAGTCCAGTTTTATTTTGTTATCATTTATCGGTAGACTTTAATTTCGTTCTTTTGTTGTCATTATGAAGTAAACTTATTTCATGTTTTTTTTTTAATTATTGCATTAAACGCTTAGTTCTTTTCACGTTTTATTTTCCTTTTTTTTTGTGGCTATACAAGCTTGTGTACACGGAGGTACACAGGTTTATTGTATTAATACAGAATAATACAGGGTGATTCACGGAAACTTCCTGTTTTGTATTTTGCGCCAAGCAGCCATATGTTGTAGGAAAAGGGGCGGGGAGGATGAGCATGAATTTTCTTGACTATTTACTGCATTTTCAATTTGCTGAATCAAGTCTCCTCGGGAAAGTACTTGAGAAAAATCCAGGGATAGTTCCTCGCTAAATTTACCTTGCTTCTGATTATTTTTAATTGTAATCCTTCTTTGAAATAACGACTGATTTATATTCTTTACTTTTCTTATTAATTCTCCACACATCCAATTTATTTATTTTGCATCAACTGCGACATTCAACATCCAATTCGTCAACACAAAAGCTAAGGTTTCAATAATAATTCGCATAACTACAATTAACAATTGACATCATAATAAAACGCATTCTTTGCAACAATTTATTAATTCGAACTCTAAAACATTTATGCGGATTCCTAAGTTAACGTTGAGAATGCTGCTGCAGGCAACTATTGCTACTATATATGTCCGTATATTGTCCCCAGTTTTACAGATCTTATCTTCAATATAAAATTAAAGTCATGCAATTTTTGCTATTGTGAACGATCATTAATCTCTTTTATACTGTGATAATGGAACGAAATTCCGAATCTATGAGTTAATTAATATAACTTGGATAAATTCAAGTTGTGTTACAGTGATGTTAGAGAAAACTTTACATGACAAAATTAAAACCAAGATGTATATTGTTGACTGAGGACAATCTTTATTGCCATTGAAAATTATAATCTTCCATTACACGGAAAACATTTCGAACAATAAACAACGCTATAGGAAAGACAACAGAAATCTTATGAATATTAAAAACCACAAATGATGTAGAAAAAACCTCGAAAATAGTTGATCTAGAAATTGAATACGGTTTGCTAACTCTTGCCTTAGCTTGTATAGTTGCTGCCCAAATCAGGACTTTTTATAATCATCGTTGTAGCCATTGTCATAATCATTATTGTAGCCATTCTTACAATCATCGTTGTCATCATTGTTGTAGTCATTTTTAATCATTGTCATACCGGGAATAGTTTAACCATCGTTGTTAAAACCATCGTTGGTTACCACAACCATCATCGTTACAACCTTGCTTATTCAGGTATAACCTTACTGCGCAGGCAGAGGTAGTAGAAAATGATCTGAAACAAAATCATCGTTAGATCAGTACAAGTATTCAACATCATTGCAAAGTGTATGATAAACAATGATGGCCTTTAACATATTTGGATTGTAATTTGCCAAGTAAGTGAATAAAGATAAGGCCCAGACGCTCCGGACAATTTATCGAGTATTATATCATCGAATCGGACAACCTAATGTTGGTCAGGTTGAAAATTATGTTGGTTCAGAGGCGAAGTTTAAACATTATTCAGTTTGTTAGGCAGAACATTTCATTGAATTATGCCATTAAGCTACTCTTTTCATCCCATAAGCTACACTAACGCTGCAACATCACGCATCATCAGCTACACTAACGCTGCAACATCACGCACCATAAGCTACACTAACGCTGCAACATCTCGCACCATAAGCTACACTAACGCTGCAACATCACGCACAATAAGCAACATCAACGCTGATACATCACGCACCATAAGCTACACTAACGCTGCAACATCACGCACAATAAGCAACATCAACGCTGATACATCACGCACCATAAGCTACACTAACGCTGCAACATCACGCACTATAAGCTACACTAACGCTGCAACATCACGCACCATAAGCTACACTTACGCTGAAACATCACGCACTATAAGACCTTATGACCTTATGATGAGTTTTAGGACGTCGTAGTCCACGGTCACGCTGATGCGCCGCCTTCGTCGTCCTCCGTCTCCGAGTCGTCGTCGGATGTAACGTTGGACGTGTTCCGTCTATTTGCCCTCCTTTGGGCCACCTGATGCAAGATGCTGTTACTTGTCACTTGCTGGGGGTGGTTTCCCATTACTGAACAAACCGGGATCTTTCTCAACCACTTGTCCAGTTGTCTCTTGAATGTTGCAAGAGTAAACTCCCCTCCTCTCAGCGCTTTTGGTAAGACATTAAAGAGCCTCGGTCCTACCACGGACAGTGATCCCTCACGAAGAGTCTGTACTCTGGCCGCGGCTCGGTTATTAAATGGGGGAGTCCTGCACAGTCTCCCCCTTCTTTCGTTGTAATATGTCATTATTTTGGAGCTCTCACTCTCAAAGTTGGGAGCCAGTCCGTTTATCATCTTCCAAGTATACAGTATGATATACCTTTCCCTTCTTCTCTCCAGTGAGTACAGTTCCAGGTTTTTCAGCCTTCCCCAGTAGTTCAGGTTCAGCTCCCTCATGCCGCTGATCCTGTACGTGAAGGTCCGCTGCACTGCCTCCAGTTTCCGCACCGCACCCGCCTTGAGTGGCGACCAAAGTTGGCAGCAATACTCAAGATTGGGGAGCACGAGGGCTCTGAAGAGGGTAATCATTGGTGCTGCTTCTCTCGTTCGAAATGTCCGCCATATCCACCCCATCCATTGCCGGCTGCGCGCGACTATTTCCTCGATATGGGCATCGAACGTGGCTTCAGTACTCATCAACACTCCGAGATCTCGAACTAGTTGCTTCTCCTCAATTTCTGTGCCATCTGATGCCAAGTAGCGATGTGGCATCCCGATCTCTGTGCAGACTCTGTATCTCATTACTTCGAACTTGGTGCCGTTGAACTACATATTGTTCACTAGGGCCCAATCGTAGATTGACGATAGATCATCCTGTAATATCTCGCAGTCTAGGTCATCTGTGATCTTCATCAGCACTCTTGTATCGTCCGCAAATGATGATGGAGATGCGTGGGTGAGTTCCGAGTCTATGTCGGCAATGTGGATGAGGAAGAGGATCGGTCCAAGCACTGAGCCCTGCGGAACTCCGCTTTTCACCTTCGCTTCTCTCGATTTCGAGTTTCCAATTGCGACAGCTTGTACTCTATCTGTAAGGAAGTTGTGGATCCACCTCAACAGGCTTCCTCCTACCCCCAACAGCCTTAGCTTTCTAAAGAGCACCCCATGGTCAACTTTGTCAAAAGCTTTAGCAAAGTCTAGTTATACCACGTCCACGCCAGCTCCCTCCTCCAGCTGGGCCACCAGACGGTGATGGTGCTCCAGTAACTGTGACAAACAGGAACGATTACGCCGGAAACCATGTTTTCCGTCATTAAACAGGTCAGCCTCTTCCATATACCGACAAGTCTCCTGACAACTACCTTCTCAAAAACTTTGATCACATGTGAGGTCAAGGTCACAGGTCTGTAATTTTGGGGTCTGTCCCTCGCACCTCCTTTGTGGATTGGCGTTATCAGTCCTACTTTTAGGCCCTCATTAATAATTCCCTCCAACATCGAGGCTTTCCAGAGCATTGTGAGCGGAGCCTTCAGTGCTCCAACACACTTCTTCAACAGCACTGCCGAAATTCCGTCGGGTCCTGGTGCTGAAAACGTCGCCAATTCTTTGATACTTATTTCCATATCTTCTTGGCCCAAACTCAATGTTCTCCAACCCCCTTCCTCCTGGTAGTTCCTGGAGAACTTCAATTTCGTTCTCCTCCCTTGTGTAGCGAGGGTTACTGAAGACTGATTCAAACTGTAATCCCAGTTACTCACACATGCCCTTGTCATCTCCTACAAGGACATGGTTATCCTTCAGCGGACCCACTGGCGTCTTTATTTTAGCCTTGGCCTGGGCGTATTTGAAAAAGTACTTCGGGTTTTCTCTGATTACTTCCACTACTCGTTCCTCGGCAGCTTGATCTTCTATCCTATGCGATTCCTGCAACCTGAGTTCAATTTCATTGTGCAAATCTACTTGTCTCTGTCTCCTCAGATCACTAGTGGACTCAGCTATTTGTTTATTCAAACGTGTGCGTTTTCTCATAAAGATTCGTCGGTCTCCCGGAATGCTGCGGACTCTGGGTCCCGTTTTTCTTGGGGTATGACGCACACATACCTGTGCTAATTTCTCACAAAGTTTTGTGTAAGTTTCCTCTGCATTCATACCGTGAAACTCTTCTCTCCAGTCAGTTTCGTCAAGTTCATTCCATATTGCCTCCCAATCTGTTCTTCGATGGTGAAAGTTGAGTCCTGCCAGTCCATCTTGGGGTATAGCCCTGGGCTGGGTATCAGTTCCAATGGTTGTATCCACCCTCACCAGTCGGTGGTCTGACAGTGAGGTTTCTTCAGCCCGAACGTCAACCACCATTTTTTCATTATCTGTAAAGAAGAGATCGAGGATATTTCGTTCCCTTGTCGGCAACCGTACCTGCTGACTGAGCAAGTGTTCCGCAGCGAACTTCACTAGTTTGGCTTCTTGACTTCTGTCGCGGTCACCAACCTCTAGGTCGCACGGACTTGTCGCCCCATTATCAGGCTGGGGGCTGGTTCACCCAGTCCAGCCACCTTGGTTTCTATTTCCTCCAGGGTTTTGCTAAAATCTTCCAATGGGCAAGCTGGCGGCCTATAGACTATGGCTACGCAGAGGTCAAGTTTTTTATATGGAGAAGTACGTGTTCAACAAATCCGTCAGAGTTTCCAGATTCCGATCTCAATTCCACCGTGCTTCTTGCGAGGGAGTTCTTAAGGTAAACAATTACTTCTCCCTTCTTCCTCCCTCCAATTCGGTCCGCACGATAGTGTTGAAATCCTTCCATTGCAATTTCTGCATCCAGTATATCCTTCCTAAGGTGCGACTCCGTTAGTGCAATCATAAAGATCCCACCCTCGTCGGCCATCTCTCTCAGCACGCCAATCTTGTGGCGCGCACTTCGTGGGAAGAGCCCCTCGATATTGGCCAGCAGGATGCCAGACTCTTCCCTTCTTGATGTTCTTACCTGCAGCGACACCGATCTGCCAGGCGTCCCTGATCCAGCAGCTCCTTTATCTGGAGTTGCATCATTTCCAATTGGTATTGCATTTGGTCCTTCATGTCTAAAAAAAGCACTGAGGGTAACCTCTTGCTCCTCACGTGCTTCTCGGCCCCGTACACATCGGCTACTCAGTGGATTAGCTAAGTCGCGGTTCAAAACTTTGCCGGAAACCATGTTGTCCGTCATTGACTTTATGTATATATATTGTATAATATATATATATATATATATATATATTGACACTCCATTGACTCCGTTCATTTCCACCTCGTACCTCACCGTTCCTTCCAACGGTGTTTCTCTCAGCGTTGTTCTGTCTTCCAGCAACACTAACGCTGCAACATCACGCACTATAAGCAACATCAATGCTGCAACATCACGCACCATAAGCTACACTAACGCTGCAACATCACGCACCATAAGCTACACTAACGCTGCAACATCACGCACTATAAGCTGCACTAACGCTGCAACATCACGAACTATAAGCAACATCAACGCTGCAACATCACGCACTATAAACAACACGTCACTAACGCTACAACATCACGCACTATAAGCAACATCACACACTATATGGTACACTAAAGCGAAAACATCACGCACTTAAGCAACATCACACACTATGTGGTGCACTAACGCTACATCACGCACTATAAGTAACATCACACACTATAAGCTACACCAACGCTACAACATCACGCACTATAAGTAACATCACACACTATAAGCTAAACTAACGCTGCAACATCACGCACTTATCAAGCAACACTCACGTTGTAGCGTCCCTCAGGTGGTGGTTTACACTCTTTCGTGGCGGCATCGAACGTTGGGTCAGGGTCGCATTGGTGCTGCAAGAAGTTCCCTTTGAAGCCTTCCAAGTCAAACTTTCCTTCGCTGGTGTACTGGTGGATATGTGAACAATTATTCCTATATATATATAGTACAAATGATGCTGTCAATATTAATTTGATATCTGAATTCCTATAAATAGAGTAGGTACAAATAATACTGTCGATGTTAATTTGATATTTGAATTCCTATAAATAAGATACAAACGATGCCGATGTTAATTTAATATCTTAAGCATGAAGGTCATTGCAAAGTTATGAGCATGGGTCTGAGGTTAAAGCTTGTTAACGAGTAAAAATATGGAGATTTTTGCAATAGAACGGAAGAATTTTTTTGCAATTGATTTAGTTACCAGCTTTTTAAGTAAATATAATAAGTAAGGAGCGTGTATTAAATCATTTCGTACAGCTGCTTGAACCGGGATTTAAAGCGGATGTTCTTTTCGTGATTCTTGCGTGCAGTTGAGCACGCACAAATCCGCCATATTCACGTATCCGTCACTCACGTATCCGTCACTCACGTATCCGTCACTCACGTATCCGTCACTCACGTATCCTGTACACTCACGTATCCGGCACTCACGTATCCGTCACTCACGTATCCGTCACTCACGTATCCGGCACTCACGTATCCGTTGCGCTGGCCGATGCACTTAAAGAAGGGCTCGAGGAGAGGGTCGCACACGACGGGGTTTATAGCCAAACCCGATGCCCAGGCAACCCTCAGGAAATTTAATTAAAGTTACTATTAATTGTGAGTCATTAATTAATCAATCATTTAATTGTGAGTCATTAATTAATTAATCATTTAATTGTGAGTCATTAATTAATTAATCATTTAATTTTGGTATACTATTAATTGTGAGTCATTAATTAATTAATCATTTAATTGTGAGTAACAGTTGACGTCGCAGATAGTGTGAGTCATCACAGTCATCGTCACAGATAGTGTGAGTCATCACAGTCATCGTCGCAGATAGTGTGAGTCATCACAGTCATCGTCACAGATAGTGTTATGAATATAAAACTAACCTAACCTAACCTTCACTATAGCAGCATGAGATTAAAATACTCTCAAAATTGTTTCAGATCATTTAGAGCAATCCACTTATATATTTAGTGATAAATATGTTAAAATTTCCGCTAAAAATAATTTCAATTTACAATCCCACATGCACCACAACTTCAAACTGGTTCATGAGTGTATTATTAACAGTTTTTTCTCGTGCTACATATTTTAAATTAATATTTCTATTAATACTACATTTTCTAAATTAATATTTCTATCTCATACTACATATTTTAAATTAATATTTCTGTCTCATACTACATATTTAAAATTTCTATTAATGCACATTCTAAATTAATATTTCTATTAATACCACACATTATATCTACATATTTGATCATCTTACTTGGGTAAGCTTGTGCGATGGAGCTTGGAAAATCAGCAACGCAAGTCATGTCGACGAAGAAAGAAGACATAGCCATTTGACACTGCGTGTACCTGAACAGACATGAGAACATGGAATGGTTGAATGCCGTTTATTCAGACAAAATTCAATAGATTACATAGAATACGATAGCAAGAATACACACTACCGACGGATGGTTTGAAGAAGACCACACATAAAGTTATTATAATAAAATACAGTTAATAATGAATTACAATACAGTTCAGTTTCAGTTACAATACAGTTACAATGAATTACAATACAGTTTTATACCGAAATACAGTTAATAATGAATTACACAGTGTATGGGTATGAATGTAAGGCTTTAATTTGTTCAAGGAACATTGAATAACTGACCGCGGCTGCAATGTCGCAGCAGCAGCAACGTCTAACAACAGGAATAAGGTGAAGATCATCGTTGGTGCGGTGAAGAAAAAGCTGGTCTCGAGAAGCACCGCACGCTTATATGGACCATGGAATGTTGTCTCAGGTGTACATGTGCTGCACCTGTCTCAGGTGTACAGGAGCAGCACCTGTCTCAGGTGTACAGGAGCAGCACCTGTCTCAGGTCACCTGTCTCAGGTGTACAGGAGCAGCACCTGTCTCAGGTGTACAGGAGCAGCACCTGTCTCAGGTGTACAGGAGCAGCACCTGTCTCAGGTGTACAGATGCTGCACCTGATATTCCATCGCAGGAAATTTACTTATACTAATATGATATGAGGTGCAATCTATATATGATAATTTATGAAATGATTTGTTTGTTGCTATTAGGCCGAAGAGGTGATATCTTTGCAGGTGATAAGTAATAAGGTGGAGCTTTACGTGTAATTTGGTTAAAGCAATGATCACATTGCTGCCATTTGACTCCATGCCTGCATGACATTGCCATATAGTTGCTACATAGAACTATGTTGAAAATTTTGTATAAAGTGAATGGCCCATGGGGCGCTGAAATTGCAACAATATTCGATATAAGCTTAATTTACATGCATAATTCAATTTAATATGATCGTAAGCATTGTCTACTCTACGGGCTACAAGTATGTTCATTGGAGCTTAAAGATGTGTGTAAAATAGAATTACTGGCTGCTATTAACCAAGAATCGGAGTTAAGGATATGATTGTGATAGTTGTATAAATGCTTACGCATTCCAATGTGGGAATTATGATAAGCGACAATGATAAAAGTTCGAGTAATAGGCTATAAGGTCCACGTCCAGAGATGATTTTTCAGGATTTAATGACAGTGAGGCCCATAAATATTTATTATTGAAGCCACTACCTACCAGAACGCCCGGATTTACTTTTTTCAAATATATTTAACAATTCGTTTTTTTTTTCAATGGCGTTGGCCGTTAAAAATCTATGTGGCCTGAATTTATTGTAAATATCTATGTATAAAAAGTCCTTCATATTGGAATATTGCACCGTAAATTACAAGTTTACTAATAAGGATTAGATTTTGGTCGGTTTTGGCTCTTTTCCTATCGAATTTGGCCATTTTCTCTCTCCACAATCTGACAACCCTGCAGGGTCTGCATGAAGACGCGCTATGAAAATATTCGTCTGTACCAAGTATTACGTGACTCCGGTATTTGAAGGGACTGCTCATTATAATTTAACCGATTTAAACAAACGCTTTTACTTAAACGTATTAATAAAACCATCACTCGGTGGACTTACACTCCATAATTGTTGGCTTGGAGCGCGTTGTCAGGCTTGATCGTGAGGAAAAGTTTGTCAAATAAAATAATTAGTTACGCCTATCGCCCTCATCTCGCAGTCACCGCAGCCTGGATTTTGACGCTTGACATGGAGGTTGGCATGACCAAGCATGTTATACAGAACTTATTGTCTATACATGAAGATAACCGAATTTGTCTGTGTGCTGGAATCTATCTATTGAAAATTTTATATTGATATTATGTGTATCACAGTTTTTTTGCAATTAAACAGACGATTATCGGAAGAAATTTCTATAGTCTTTGTATCAATAGCTTTATTTATGTTTAGAAAACTGTATTAATATATTTAAAAATGTATCAAAGCAACGTCGGATTAACCCGTTTGTGGATACATCGCATTAAATTGCTTGAATCGTACTAATTATAACTTAATTATATTTTGTACATAATTCATCATTTGCTGAACAGTGCGCACAGCAGAAAAAGATTTGAATAAAAATCTTGGTTATAAATTTAAGAAAAACAAAAACAAGGCTGATATTTTCATTATACATTTTAGAAGAACGTGCATCTCTGCTCAATCCATTGTAAAGAATCAACAACATGAAATTATTTTCGGACACATCCAAACATCATGTACACTGCAGGGTTTAGACAGAGAAAATAAGAAATAAGTTTTTATTTACTCCCGATACGTGCAGAAGTTTGATGACAAAGAAGACATGTTTATGCTAGACTTGATACATGATGGCAGTTTCTAAAAAAGGGCCGGCATCAGACTTTATCCTATAATTACCTGTGTATCTTGTCGAAATGTTTGTTGTTCGATGGACACAGCGTGGACGTCGTATTTGAGCTACGCAAACCAACGGCTTTTTCCTGCTATACTTTGTTTGTCGTGCGAAGTGCAGCATGTTTGTCATGTGAAGTGCAGCGTGTTTGTCATGCGGAGTGCAGCGTGTTTGTCATGTGAAGTGCAGCATGTTTGTCGTGCGGAGTGCAGCATGTTTGTCATGCGAAGTGCAGCATGTTTGTCATGCGAAGTGCAGCATGTTTGTCATGTGAAGTGCAGCGTGTTTGTCATGCGGAGTGCAGCTTGTTTGTCATGCGGAGTGCAGCAGCAACATGTTTGTCGTGCGAAGTGCAACATGTTTGTCATGCGAAGTGCAACATGTTTGTCCTGCGAAGTGCAGCATGTTTGTCCTGCGAAGTGCAGCATGTTTGTCATGCGAAGTGCAGCATGTTTGTCATGCGAAGTGCAACATGTTTGTCATGCGAAGTGCAACATGTTTGTCTTGCGAAGTGCAACCTGTTTGTCATGCGAAGTGCAACATGTTTGGCATGCGAAGTTCAACATGTTTGTCATGCGAAGTGCAACATATATGTCGTGCGAAGTGCAGCGTGTTGAATTTTTCTGACAAAGCTCTGATGTTGCAGGGAATTGTTTCATGTCCAGCGTATGTTCAACTTGTACATAGTTTCTTGTCTATCGTATGTTTATTCGTAAGTACATAGTTTTTTGTCTAACGTATGTTTAGTTTGTACTTAGTATCATGTCCAGCAGATGTTTAATTTGTTCATACTTAATCAGCATGGGCTTAATTTGTATTCGGTTTCATTTCTGGCGCATGTTCAACTTGTAAATGGTTTACTGTCTAGCATGCGTTCAATTTGCCTACTATATCTATCGAAAGTCGTATGGTTCCTGTACTGTTTTAATTTTCTTGTGTTCCTTGATGTTAGTTCCCACACATTATTATTGAAACTCCCGGCAAGCTCAAAATTATCAAAATATTGCTTTGACGAAGATTCAACGCTTAATTAATTTATAGATTAATTTAACGATTTCAATATTCCTTAGAGCAAACGATAGGAATCGTGCAGAGATGCATGTATCACCAAGTAATGCCTAATTTCCATGCACACCAATTAGCCAGATTTCACGATTCACGAAGCATAAACTGGCCTAATTTCATAACTATACACATCATCAAGCCCGATTTCACGTTACACCAATTTGTTTAATTCCAACTATCTCGTTAGTCTAATTTGCGTGTACGGACATCAATAAATTATTGATGCGGGAAGGCGAACCATTTCAGTCAATGCCCGACTGCCGGTAGACTAGTAAAATCCTTAAAATTTTTGCCCTCTCATCTCATCAAATTTTTCTTCCTGTGCCCTAAGTACCAAAGTATTTAGTCCGTCACATGTAAATAATTACGTATATAATTATTCTGCTTCAATCACAAGTTCACCATGAATTTAAAACAAAGAAAATGCCGAGTAAATTCATTATGTCTTCATGAATAGAATAGAGTAGAAATGTCGGCACTGAAGAAATATGCCCATGGCCTGTTGCCGATTCTTGTACTTGTCGTGACTTGATTCACAAGTGATCCAGCCTTTGGAACCCGATCTTTCCATAACTGACGATTGATTGAGATAGCTGCTGGACTTATTGCCTGGTCCGTAATTTGCTGGGCATTTTAAGACTGAACATATACTCCTGCATAGCTTCGTCTGGACTTATTGCCTGGTCCGTAATTTGCTGGGCATTT